AAGGGAAAGAAAAGAAGAGGAAAAAAACCATTGTGACTTGCAAAGAGGTCACATGCAGAAAGCTCTCAATTCAAAGAAGATATGGGGTTCCAGAAGAGGAGAAGAACCATTTCTAAGCATCATCATGCTTTTTTAAAGCCTGGAAAATATAACTTCAGGTTGCTTCTGACTTAGTGCTAAGAAAACAGAATAAACAGAAGTTAAGAACCCAGTACTTGTACAGTTTCACTTGAAACCATGGTGACTCTAAAGGGCAAGCAAAGAGAAAGAGAACAGGAAAAGAGAGTTCTTAGTACCTGAACAAAATTAATCCAGACTGAGGGGAGAAGATGTTCCCCCACCTCCAAGGAAATAGAACTGAAAACCATTTTTGTACTTATGCAGGTGCCAAATTCCATTACTAATATTCTTAGACTGTGGCATCTCTTCCCCACCATCAGACTACAGTAACCCACTTCTCTAGTATAGTTTCCAGTTGTTCCTCTTGACGTACTTCTTTTTTCCAGCTTAACCAACCCACTCACAGTTCCAAGTAGCTGCCCTTTTAGGCTTTTTGTATATCACTCCTACTGCCTGGAATGCCCCATCAGTCCATTTCATTTGCATTTCTACAAGTCCAATTCTACATATAATGGAGAGACAATATAATTAAGTATTAAGATAATGGGCTCTGGAGCCAGAGTGCCTGAATTCTTACCCTTGCTCCATCATTTACTAGCTGAGTGCCCTAGGAATGCTACTTAACCTCTCTGTCCCTCAACTGCCTCATCTCAAACTAGTGGTCATTAGGATTAACCACCTGGAGGGCTTGTGGTCAAAACGAATGGCTTAACGTAGGAAAAGGGCTTAGAGCAGTGCCTGGAATGTAGTAAAAGTGTCAGCTATCATGACAGTGACAACAATGTGAACACAACCAGGACAACTACTACTATACATTGTTAAGGCTCAGGTCAAATGCCTCCACAAAGCATTCCCTGAGCCTTTTACCTGGAAGAAATCATTTTCTCATTTGAATTCCTAAAGTACTTTCAACTGTCATCTCTCTTAAAACACTTCTGTCTCATTTTACATTATTTATACATATGTTGTCTCCCTTACTGGACTTTAACTTTCCTGAGAGCAAAATCCACCTCTGATAATGTCTACTTATCACTTACAGCTCCTAGCAGGTGCCCTGATCATAGTATCTACTCAAACACGTGTAGATGGGTGGGTATTTGGTCATGAGCAGGGCACCTCTGCCAGCTCGCAGAGCCTCAACCATTCTTACCACAACATCTTCCAAGATCTTAGTTGGGCAAGGTCTGGAATGAAATTCAAAGTGTTCATCCTCTGATTTCTTCTTTGACTCACGCTCCTGGATTCTTTTCTCAATTTCCAAATCAAAACCAATAGGTTGAGTGGGTGGCTTCACAGGTGGTTTCTTGGGCAAGATGGGCCCACCTTCAAGAATTCTGGGATCAAGTTCTCGTGCTTTGAATTTGTATCTGTAAGTGAGAGTGTAAAAGAAAACCACAACAACAACAAAATTTTTTTTAATAAAACGAAAACTACACAAACGACAAAGTAGGCCAAAAACAGAAAAATAATAATCATTAAGATTAGCCAAAAAAAAAAAAAAAAAAGATTAGTCATCATGCACAGCAAAATTTCAGCTCTTGCTAGCTATTATCTGTACCTCTAGAGCAAAGAATAAATGAGAAAGTCCTAATGGTTCCACCATACTTTAAAAACTGGAGTTTCTCTTCACAGACGAAGCTTCCTCATATGTTCAGGTACAAAAAGAAATGGAAGGATACAAGAGACAAACTCCAGTGCCACCCATATTAAGTTCCAATTTCCTCCACTGAACAATCCTTTGGGGGCCATGAAAGTGTGGGACCTACTTAAACTAACCTGGAAGGACACTCCCTAATTAGAATGGTAGGCTCTCCCACCCCAACCTCTGCATTAGTTTTTTACCAGTTTACACTCAGGACATTTCTATAGCTCCACTTTCAACCCTTTAATCATAGGCGTGGGGGCACAGCCTACAGAGCCAGTAACTCAAATGCCATTAAGTTCTCATGGCAAGAAAAATACCAACTATCCCCTTCTAGAACAGAAAAGAAAGTGGGCAGGTTCTCAGAACTCTTTCTCAAATACTGCCAGTGGGACTTACTGTTGCAGTTTCTCTAGCTCCTCGGCCTCCTGATCTGCCGTGCTTTTGCAGGTTACAGGCCTTGAACGCCATTTGGTTTGCAGGACAGGAGTCTGTGGGTCTCTGGAAATCTTGGCCACAGCAGATTTGGAGGGTAACAGAGCTGTAAATGGAGATCACAGATATTCACCTGGCTTCCAAGACCCTGTTTACCGGTAGGTGCTGACTCCGGGTGGCAGCCCAGAGATGCCCAAGCACAGAGTGGCTGGCCCTCTACACTCAGCTCATGTCAGTCAACTTGACAAACATTCAGTCCCTTCTTCCCTATCGCTCTTTATTGGGGGATACGACAAAAGTAGCCTTTGAGTAAACTCTACTATCGTCTTCTGAACTTAAAACCACTCATGTCTAATGAATTCCTTATCACTGATGGCACGGGCCTGTACTGCTTTTCTATGGATAACTATTTTGCTTGTTATTGACAAATGAGATTTTTGCTTATTCCGGCTTTAAAATAAGACCTTCCTAAAGACCAAATAATAATTTTAAATTTTATAAACTCCCTAAAAGCACTATATCGAAGCCTCAAGACTGTCTCTCAGAGAAAGTAGAATGGAGGAAAAAAAAAAAACTATGTCAAAGCATCAATATTAAGACCATCATTACCACTCATAGACAACATTGATTTACCTAGCCAGGGGCAACCTTGTCGATTTTCATAATTATAAATGAATCCTCTAATTTAGATCTTATCACATAAGATATGAAGATAGAAACCAAGTCTATTTATTTTAGAAATAAGCCAGGCTTCAAGTATATATATAACCATTATTTAGCTATAACTCTAAGTAGCTTAATTTTTATTTCTATTTGCCAGGACCAAAATTCTAAGAGCAGGACATATTAGACTCCAACAGTCATATACTATTTGAATAGTCACATTTAATATTTAAATTTCCACTAGGATTAAAAAAAAAGACATTTTTGTAATATAAAACTTGACAAGTGGCTACTAGAACAATATAATAACAGTATTAAGAAATGCTATACCTATAGGAACTTGTCTGGCTACCTAACACAGCACTAAACAATGTTTATGCAAGGCAGAAAAACCTGAGACCTTAAAGGCAAAACGATCAGATTCAGATTCGGCCTTATCCAGAATGCTAGCCCTATACTCTGGACAACTATTTTATACCACTTCCGTGTTTCAAACTTCCTTCCCTTTCTTCTTGTAGTAATTACTTTCATAAAAATAGAAGCTATTAGATTAGAATCCTCTCATCTCTTCACCACCAAATCCACACACCCATCAGCATTTGCATCTATTCCTCTCTTCCAACCTCTTTTTTCGAAGAACTCCACCTGTGCTAAGTATTTCTCCCCTATCTGCCTGTACAGGGACTTAACCATTGGCCATCTCCTTTCTCTGCCAGAGACTCCTCAGCATGTAGAAACGTTCTACCTATCTCGCACCTCCTTCGACTTTGTCATCTCCCTCCACATGCACAGCACTTAACAAAATTTGTAATAATCTATTTGTTTATCTCTCTCACTGAATTAGAAACTTGATATTGAGTAGCACCAAGTCCATTTTGTTCATTTCTATATCCCTTACGCCCAACACAGCGCCTGGTTTGCAGTAGTAAAAAAATTTGTTGAATCACTGAATAAAAGCACACAACCTTGAGTGAATGGAATGCCTTCATTTTCTATAGGTAAGTAAGTGTACTGTGACATTCTGACACAAGGCAAAGGTATCCTTGATATATAATGACACATCACGTAACCTTGATTCCCCTTGGACATTTACTAACCAGGAAGATCAAGGTGGTTGATGGGCACAAGTGGACAGATAGCTGGGTGGTTTGAGAAGTGCTCAACAATACATTAGTTATCTGTATGGCACATGCCATACTTTAGTTTAAAAGTCAGGATTACAACTAAAGACTAATTTGTGCCTAAGATGTAAGCAAAGGAAATTCCAGGAGAGACTCCAGCTAGCTATGATTTTGGTAAGAAACTTACTAATGTCATCCTTCTTGCTCCTCAAGTGATATCTGTTAGGGGTTCGTTTATAGAAGGCTTCGACTTGCTGTGCAAAGGGCACATAAGGACTAGCAGTTTCATCAAATGTTCTTTTCTTTCCTTGGGACAGGTTGAAAGGCTTTATAATGGTACATCCTTTAGTCACTCGGGCCTGTAAAGAGAGAAGTTATTTCTCAAATGAAATGTTATAGAAGCTCAGATCTACCAAAAGTCAGGGGTCCAGGCAAAACCAAGATTATTATTCCTAAGTCTGTCAGTCCTTGAATATGAGTTATAACCAGCCTATTTCCATCTTTTTTTTTTTTTTTAAATAAAAAAGGAAGACAAGATCTAGCATTTAGCAAATTGTCTGTCCTACAGGAGTACGTATACACTGATTTTTCACAAGCATGTTAATGTTTTGAAGCAATCAAGAGCGAGTTGTCTTATAATTAGAAGTAAGCAAAAAAAGCTGAAAGGCACCTCACCCCCAATCCCAGCTAAAAAAAAAAATTTGATTAGGCTTCTGAGTCTGGATCAGGTCAGGGAGCTGCCTGAATCGCCTGAATGCCACGCTCACGCATCGACCCAAAAACTGACTGTTGAAAAAGACTATCAGAAGGATCATTCATTTTGATAAAACTGGCCTCTGACTGGAAATGAAATTCTCAAAGAAAGAAGCACACTGCAAGGATTAAGACTTTAAGGACTGGACTGGCTTCAACAAATGATGACAAAAATTGCAAGTAGAGATTCTTAGTACTAGAATTTTTATTTAGGTTTGTGACTGTTTTTGTTAGTGGTCTGGTAACAAAACTGCACAGGTTTTGAGTGGAGTGCCCCAAACCCGCTGTCCCATAAACTTTGTTATATTTTGTACACAACTTTGCAGACACGGATTTTTTTCAAGAAATCTGTAACAGCACAAGCTGTAACAAGCCTGTGCTTACGATCTGCCACACATAATTCTATGTTTTATGTATATTCTCAATTCAGTTTCCACAGCAACTTGGTAAGATGGTTCCCAAAGACAGTGATTTATCACAAAGCTAACGGGGGGCAAAGTGAGGATTTAGCTCTATTTTAACTCAATTATGTTATTATAAGTAGTGACCACAAATGCTACACCTGAAATCCTCATTGAAATTGTAACAGGAATATTCATTTAGTCCATTAACTTACAGGAGATGGAGGATGCTTTCGAAGTTCAGATGTAAAGTTCACTTCTTTATACTCCTCCTGGTTCTTAGGATGTTGTTTGATTCGCTCATCTGTGCGGAAGTGGAAGTCGACTGATTTGGTTACCTGGCTCACTGATTTCTTCGCAGGTTGCCCTGAGTGAGGAGCAGAGTAAAACACACAGGTAACACTAAGAATAGAGAACATTAGCAAATCTCCCTTCATCTAGTCTTTTTGGTACTTGTATTTCCATGGATCTAACTTTGTTCACTCTCTACATATAACTCCAAATTTGAAACAGTCCTCAAGGACACTAATATATGTGCAATATTCATTGAGTTCTGTTGGGTTTGAGGCCCTTTGGTCAGATGCAAACTGTAAAGAGGTAGCACAGGGGGAAAAAATCCCATTTCTCAGATGTGGTCATAGCTCTGAAGAGTAACTAGAATACTTTTGATAGGCAAAGCTCTGAATTGACTTTAAAAGCCATTTAACTAAACATCTCTAAGAGGGAAACTCTATAAACTCAAGGGGCACTTTTTCCAACCCCGTAAGCAGGGCTTTCTAGCTTTAATTCCATCAATAATACTCTATGCCAGAGCAAAGCGGAACTCTGACCCCTTCAGCTCCCTCCGTCATACTTTTCTTCCATAGCTACAACTGGATTCACTCAGCTCTTTTTTCCTCTGCCTAGCGTAAAATGGGAAAACAACAAAAACTGGCCTGCCCAGTTACTTTATATTCTGTCTTAATCCTAGTCCCTTCTTTTCCTAAAACAGAGAAAAAGAATTAAAAGGAAAAAAAGGGAGGAATTATTTATACTTGAAGAAATGAGGAAAGTCCTCATGGAAAAAGGCCTCAAAAGATGGGTGTGACTTCAACAGAGGAGAAGAACAGCACGCTGTAAGAAAGAGCCAATGTATATAAACATTCTAGGGAATAATATTTGTGATATAAATGGTACCCATATCCAGCCTTCTAAATAAACATATCTTTTTATGCCAACTGCTGGCTGAGAAAGACTTTTTGCTTTATAGACTTAAAAAACCCTACCAAGATTATGAGAGGCATTCCTCATAAATCAGATTCAACCAGACCCAAGCTGACCTGCTCCTGCAAGAGCAAGTTTCTTAAATTCTTCATTCTTTTTCCGCATCTCCATCACCTCCTGCTGCATTTTCATGCTCTTCTCCAACTCTTGCTCCTCAGTACTTTTCAGAATCTTCTGCCTAAAGGGCAAATCAATAAAAGAGATGAGAGGCTCAATGATTCAAAATAATCTAAAGGCATTAGATTAGATCTTTAATCTGTGATAAAATAATCATCCAAACCAAAAAGTATTATCTAATAGATTGATACTGGCTTAATTAGATAACCTATGGTGGTGGGGAGGGGATTGAGATGCACAACTTATACCAAAATATTGAACAATTCTCAGTAAAAAAATAACTAAAATAGACTATGGACGATATTACAAAAGACCCACAAATTTGACTCTTTAATGATTAGCTAAAACTAAAATTAAAATACTAGTAGAATGAGGAAAGTATTTACAACAAATGTGGTTAAAGTTTAATAATATATACAAAACATATACTGTGATAGAGAGGACAGACATAGGAGTAAAGCCAACCAGAGTTCACATCTCAGCTCTGTCATTTCATTTTCTGCCTATGTGATCTTGAGAAAACAATTTAACCTCTCTGAACCTCAGGTTTCTCCACTGTAAAATAAGGAATATACTCATCATCAACAGAATATTTGTCACTATTAAATCAGATGTTTCTGAAATACCCAATGCATAGTAAAAGTTCAATTTAGTAGTAATTATTAGTAATGAGAATATTACTAAGAGTACTTGTAAATGAATAGAAAAGGAAACAGACAATTCACCCAAGAAGAAGCTACAGTAATACATGTTTTCAGCAATCAAGCAAATAAAAATTAAAATAATTTGATGCCATAAATATTCTATCAATTAAATTTGAAACAATTTTAAAAGTGAAAAAAATTTCAATGCACATGAGACTACAAGGAAATAAAAATATTCATTCAAAGCTGATGGCACTGTTAATGCATACATTCATGTCGAAAATAAAATTGGCAATAAACATCAATAGCCATAAAATCAGTCGTACGTACCCTTTGATCGAGGAATTTCTCTTTCCTTAGCCTGAGGACTAGTCAAGGAAAAGGCTCTGTCTATAAAGATGTTCACTGAATACTTCCAATAGTGAAAAATTGGAAAATGCATTTTCAACAGGAAATAGTAAAATATTTCCTATTGAGAATATTAACAATCTACTGAAAAAGTATAAATGTGAAGATAAAGTACAGGAAAAAAAATAGTCTCTGGTGACTTTAAAGAACCCAAAGGTTATTTATAGACTGATTGTGAAAATATGTATTTTACTTGAATGAAGACCAGAAGAGAGCTTGGCAAAATAAAAACTGTTCAATTTAGGTAGTAAGAACCTTTACTAACTTTTTCCTTTTATATTTCTTTTAATTTGTTTTAATAGTATATTTTTTCTAATGTTTAAGACTTGAGCACCCACCAGGACATAAAACAATTCACCTCACCATGGTTATAATTTCTGGAGTTTCCCAAGCTCCATGTGTACCAAACAGACTACAGATGCACCTGTTTGTAATTTTATTCTATTGACTCTAACGTTTAAATTCAAAAAAGAAGCATACCTCACAGGTGGTATATAAGACACTGTATTCCTGCCCTTGGCTTTCTCTGGGGAAGACTCATTCTTTTCAGAAGTATCTTGATGAACACTGCCTTCTTCCTCTTCTTCTGGCTTCTTTTTATTGTTAGAACTTGAGTTCAAAAGGATGAAAAAATATCTCTTAATTCCTTAAAGTATACTCTGCTCTACCCTCCTTCCCAAATCTACCATATATGGCTTAAATTTTCTCATTCTTTATGACAACAAGCATGCTTCAACCACAAAATTCTTCCAATAGTAACACCAGATTACATATACCAATGGCCACAATGGGTAAACTTTGAGAACGTCAATAGAAGTCAAGGTAACAGCTGTCTGGTGATAGTTCAGGAGAGTAGGAGGGATTCCAACTGCTCATCATCAAATGCATAAATGGCAGACAGACAGCTGTTTATCCAATATCTATTCCATTTTCTTTCTTATTAATAGAACTCCAATTTTGTTTGGAGCAACAATGTACAAAGGCAAAAATACTGTACTTGCGACAACTGCCTCTAACAGCAATTAGGAGGGATCCACGACACAGCTGGGCAACTAAGATAAAACAAAGATTTCTGGAAAATATTTCACTTTTGTGATATGCCCCTCTTCCTTTGTCTCCTTCTTCCCTTGAACATAGATATGATACCTAGAGATATAGCAGCTATCTTGTGAAAAAGAGGCAACAAGCACAAGGAAGAAACTAAGAAACAGAGAGCAGCCATCTTGAGCAACAAGTATGAAATAAAAGCTAAGACTCACAGAGATGCTGCCCTGACATTGTTCAGTCACTGAACAAAGGCAACAGCAAATAACTATTCTATAAACCATTCTAGCTAAAGAGGCTACAGCAAAATACATTCCCAACTGATAAAAATAAGAACAAGTACCATATATTCTGTTTGCTATTAACTACAGTAGCAAACAAGGGTAAAACCTATGCCAGACAGAGGCTGTGGCTACTTACACTTTCATTCTTTTGGAGGGTAGAATTTCGTTGATTATTACAGGAGTAGCACATCTCTTGGCTTTTATTTTTACATGGTGTTTTTCTTTCTGTGCCAGATCCTTCCGAGCAGAGAGTCTAGCAGATCTTCTATGGTAGAAGAATTGACAAGATTTATCTAAAATGAAAGCATCTACCATATGCAAATGTTCTTCAGAAATATGAAAGTATGTCAAACTACAAAGGGTTATAAAAAGTTTAGTGGTATTATTTCCACTCAAAATCAAATCTCTTCTTGTCTGACAGTTCTTGAAATTTCATCATAAAATGTTGGTATTTAAATGCATCGGTGTGTAGAAATTAGATCTCAATAAAGCTGATTTTTTTAAAGGCACTGGCAATCACCGAGAATTCCCTCCTTTTACAGGTAAGAATGAAAGTTTAAAAAGGTGAGGTGACTTTATCGACCCTGTTACAGAGCTAATTAAAGTTAGAAATGAAATTATAGATCAGGTCTCCTAAAAACTGACTATAGTATTTCTTTTCTCCTTTTTTAGTCATGCCTCCTTTTTTTTGTTAAAATATAACACATAACAGAAAGTATGCAAAACAAAATTTAAGTTAAATGATTACAAAGTGAAGACTCATGAAATCACCACCTAGGTTATAAAACACAACGCTGGCAGCAGCTGCTATTTTGACTTGTCTTACAATAACCATTACTTTTTCTTTATCATTGTACCACATAGACAAGCATATTAGTTAGGAAAGAAACAAACAAAAACTTTATATAATGTAACGAGAATGCTGCAAGTATTTTGTTTTATCTGGTTTATTTCACTCAACATTATATTTGTGAGATTCAACCACACTGATTCATGTAGCTTCAATTCACTGTTTTCAATGCTGTAGCATGCATTGTAGGAATGTATTGCTATTTATAAGTCTGCTGCTGATTCTCATATATGTCTCTTGGTGCACATGTGCACATGTTGCTGTTGGGTATATTAAGTCATAAGAGTGCTAGGTCATAGAACTAGCACAACTGAAGTTGTTTTCCAAGATACCTGAACCAATTTATGCTTAGACTGGCAAATTTATAAGAGTTGCATTGCTCTACATCCTCTTGAACACTAGGTATTATCAAGTGATTTAATTTTAGCCATAATAGTATGGAGAATTTCACTGTGGTTTTAATTTGCTTTTCCCTGATTAACCAGTGAGACTGAGCAACTTTTCACGTTTATTGGCTATTTGATTATCCTCTTTCATAAAGTGGTTTCATAAAGCGGTTTCATAAAGCCTGCCTGCTTTCTATGGGTTCTCAATCCTTTCCTAATAGATTAGTAGGGATTCTTTAAATATTATAAATATGTAGGTTTTATCTGTTTCAAATATCTTTTCCCACTAAGGGGGTTGGCTTTTTACTCTTTTTATAGTATCATTTGATTAGATAAAGGTGCTCGAATACATTAACCCTCTTCTCTATTATGGTCAGTGCTTTTCTGTGTGTATCCTATTTAAAAATTCTTTCCATATTCCAAGGTCATAATGATATTCTCCTATACTTCCTTATTTGAACTTTAGCTATCATATTTAGATTTACCATTTAGATCTACAACCTACCTAGAACTGACTATTTTCTATGGAGTTATGTAGAGGCCAAGTTTCATTTTGTTCTTTTGGATATCCATTGTCCAATCATTGTTTAATGAAGAGAGAAGGGAAAAAAAACACCCTTACCCTACAGGTCTACAGTACCACCTTTGTCATATATCATGTACATACATGAGAAAATGAGTTTCTATTTGATTCCACTGGTCTCACTGATCCTTGGGTAATACCACAAAGCTTTAATGACTATAGCTTTATAATATATCTTGCTATCTACGAATACTTCAAAAGTATTTTGGCTATTCTTGGACCTTGGAATTTCCATATAAATTTTAGCATCAACATATCATTGTCCAAAATGAAAACCATTGGGATTTGTATCGGTATCGCACTGAATCTATAGATCAATTAGGGAAAATTGTTATCTTTATAATATTAAAGCTCCTAATCTGTGAACATGGTATGTCCTACCATTTATTGGGATCTTGTATAATTTCTCTCAAGCCTTTTTGTATAAAAGTCCTAAACACTATAAGACATTATTATATATTCAAATTGTTATGCTATTGCATTGAGTACCTAATTTAAGAATGTTTATTATGGAGAATTTAAAACATTAAAAATTAAAAGAATAATAAAACGGACTGCTAGGTCCTTGTTATCCGGTTTCAAGAACTATCAACTCAGTCAATCAGGCATCAATTTTCCCTCCATCCACTCTCCTAGATTTTGAAGCAAATCCCAAATATCCTGTCTTTCATCTACAAATATTTTCATACTAATCTCTAAAAATTACATGGAAGAGTGAATTTATCAGGCAAATTATTTATATATCATTACAAAATGTAGACAAAATATAAAAATCTGAATATCTGAAGGCTCTGGCACATGACCAAAAGCAGACAGAAAACAGAGGAACATTTGTCCATGAAAAATAGCAACTGCAAAGGTTAAGAATTATGAGTTAGTAGGTTTTTTGCCTGAGGGTGCTCCCCAAATATCAGAGAACTCCAGTCTTACTGGATGGAAATTTCTGAGATGATAGAACTCAATGCCAATATGTAGCAGCTAGAAAAATCCTAGAAGTGAAAGAGCTACAGAAAATGTCACTCAAATTCTGAGCAAAACTCTGCACAAACTCCTACTTCATTGTTAAAACTATGCATGTTTAGGGGAGACCCAGGGGGCCTAGCAAAAAAGCAAGCAGAAACTAATGAGGAATCCATTCTAAAAAGACATAATTACACTAGGTTTAAGACTGGTGAGTTTGCTTTTTTGTTAAGTGCATTCTGCAATGTGTATATAGTAGGATAGCACAAAGCTAAAGTCTTACTAGCACGAAGTATCAGAAGACATACATCGGGGCTGGCAGAACAGCTGGAAATTTAAAGGGAAAACTCCAGATGCAGGAACATTTGAGATCTTGCTCCCCAACACGTCATCAGTTTGGCTCAAATAAACTCTTATTGAAAAAATAAATTTAAGAACTCCAGATGCAAGAGTTTATATTCAGCCTTGGCTGACTGCTAGCATAGGGGAGACTCCAGGGAGCCAGACTAAAAAAGCAGCAGCTATATATGCAAACATATAAATGGCCAGTAATCACATGAAAATATGATCAACATCATTCGTCATCAGAAAATGCCAATTAGTAACACAATGAAATATCATTAAAAAGACTCACAATACCAAGTGTTGGCTAGATGTGGAGCAACTGAAACTCTCATATATTGCTAGTGGGAATATAAAACAGTGTTAATTTTAGAAAACGTTCCGATTGTTTCTTATAAACATATACTTAATAGTATGACCCATCAATTCTATTCCTTAGGTATTTACCCAAGAGAAACACTGTCCTCATAAAGACCTACAGGTAACTACTCATAAAAGCTTTATTCATAACAGCCCCAAACTGAAAACACCTCAAATGTCCATCAACTGGTGAATGGATAAACTGTAGTATATTCAGTCAATAAAATTTATTATCAGCAATAAAAAGAAATAAAATCCTGATACATGCAATGGCATGGATGAATCTCAAAAGCACATGCTAAGTGAAAGAAGTCAGATATAAAAGAATACATACTATACAGTTCCATTTATACAACTATCTAGAATAGGCAAAATTAATCTGTGGTGACAGAAATCAGAACAGCGGCTGCTTCTGGATGGAAGGTGGGAGAGTAAGAAGGTAGAAAGAGCAATCAGGATTGACTGTAAAAAGGGGCAGGATGAGGGAAATTTCTGAGATGATAAAAATGTTCTGTACATTTTGAATATGGTGTTGTAGTTGCTTGGAGGTATATATTTGTCAAAACTAACCAGACTATATATTCAAGATATATACATTTTTCTATATGCAAATTATACCCCAACAAAATCAGTCCATTTTTAAAAAGACTAGGAAATCTAAAAATTAGAAAGAAGGCAAAGCACACGAAGACATGACCATATTGGATTATTACTTCAATTTAACATATAATGATGTTATAAACTAAAAAGAATAATTGCTGGGTGTCTTCAGGGAGAAACGGCTAGGAGACGAGATTCCAAAACATTAAAACATACATTTGTGGTAAAATTTATTTATCCATTCACCTCTTCCATGGAAAAATTATTATGACAGACTACAGCCTTGACTGTTAACTATTCTGTGTCAAAGGAGTTTTGTCATCTTTTAGCCTATCCATCAAAACAATGTGAAAATAAAACAGTAGGGAATTTGTATGATTGTCTACACCATTTTATTCTATCTGCTGTTCCTTTCTAGATTAGGCATCTCTGGATTAAGATAAATCTGAGACCTGATAAAATGGCACTAGTGTTTTGCCTCTTATTACCCATTTTCAAAACATAGTATCATTTACAAAGTACTGTCATATACTACCTTATTTGGCCCTTTCTTACAATTAGCCTGAGAATAATTATTCTCAGTACACTGAGGTTTTAAATGGTAAAGGGTACCTGCCTTAAAAAAAAAAATTTCAAGTCTTCTGACTCAAAGCAGCTGGCTTCCTGTCATACAATGATTTCCAAAAAGCATTCTAGAATTCAGCAGAATAAGGGACAAATTTAGTAATCATATACGTATACAAAATGGAGAATTCAGCAGACTAAGGGACAAATTTAGTAATCATATACATATACAAAATGGAGAAGAAATAAGGGACAAATTTAATAATCATATACGTATACAAAATCATATACATATACAAAATATTAACACTTTCTTAGATTCTGAAGAAATCTATAGGATACTGGGTCCCTTTTCCACATGCCCTACTTCACAATTTAAACATGGAACAGAAACCATAGAATCAACCATTAGCAATCTCTTAAGACTCCTGTGATATATACCTAGCTGGTTGAGATTTCAAAGAATTCTTTGACTGTAATGAGCTTCTTTACCAGAAAAGATTACTATAAGCTTATATGATACCATCCTCAAAAGGTGATACCCTTATGCCAGCATAGGCTTTGCAAAGGGTAATTTCATCACTCTGAGCAATAATAGTATAAATATCCTGTCTTTTTCTTCCTTGAGGATATTCTAGGTAGCATCAAAGTATAAAGCAATAAACAGTGGGTTGGTGGTAATTATTAGATGGTAAAAAGTTTTTAAAAATCTAATTTGAATAGATATTTGATTAGCGCCATCTGAAGGCAATGTTAAGACTCACAGCAACCAAATACTACGTTTTTGTGATCAAAAAGATAATACTGATACAAAATGCAGCATTCAAAGACATTAGATGTTCTGAGACTGCTAGTGCCAAGATTACAGATTAACCTACCCATCCATCCATTTGTTCATTCAGCTTCTGCCAGAATTCGTTAAGCACTGTTTACTTACAATGGGGAAAAAAATCTGTCAAATATTCATACAAATAAATGTAAAATTGCAATTCATGTTGATGGTGCAAACAGTAAGGGCTTTGGAACCGAACTGATCCTGGCTCTGAAATAAACTTACCTTGGACAAGTAACTTAGTACCTTTGAGTCCTTATCTATGAATTAGACATATTATCTACTACAACTCATAACATAAAGAGTGTAATATAGTATGAGACACACATTAGGTGCTCTGTCTAGTAACCATTCTTTAAACATTATTAAAATAACCACCACTTTCAAGCTCCAAGACAGTGTTACCTCTGAGACTGGGCGGGAGTATTTTTGGAGATGGTTCCCTTGACTTCCAGGGAAGAACAAGCATTTGATGGAATGGACTGTTGCACCAGATTTTCTTTTTCTGCCTCTTTGTAATTAGTGTTGTCAACTGCATGAGAGTAAAAACTAGTCAGCACTGAAATCCCAAAGAAATAAGTTGGAGATGATACAACATACATACACACACACACACACACACAACATAATACAAAATTCTAGATTGACATTTTTATATATATGTGAGTGTAAGCAGTGGAACATTTAGTTCCAGTGAAATCTTACACAGAAGACCAATTTATAAAAGCTACTTTGGTTGAAGTAGAAATGAAGTATCCAGGGCCCTGCCCATTTGCCAGCCAAAGGGACTACCTAAAGAAAAAATTGTCCCCAATACATCCTCATGACATTTTAAAAAGATAAAAATTTGAAAGCTTCCACAGAGAAAAAGAAATTACCCAAGCTGTAAGGAAAATAGGATAAGCTGGATTCCTCATCAGTGACACAGGATAACAGAAGATAAAAGAAAAATGCCTTTAGAGTGGTCAAAAGAATTTTTAAACTATAATTATATATTAAATCAAACTTTCAATTATATATGGAGGCCAAACGATGACATTTTCAGACATGTGAAAATGCAAAGTCCTCTTCTCCTGCACCTAATCTTAGGAAGTTCCCTGAGGATGTATTCCAGCAAAATGAAGGACAGAGGAAAGAATACAAAAAAGAAGGCATAAGAGCCAGGGAATGAGGCAGCAGAGATAGTCAGATATTAAGAAAAATAATGTCCCCTCCAAAAGCAGTTATAACTCCCAAGGATCATTGTCCAATATGAAACAAACTATAAGTATGACAAAATTTAAATAATTGATGAAGCTTAAAGAAAAGAGAATCTACTTGACCTTGATGTCAGGTTATCGTTATGTGGCTCAAAGGTGTAACAAGGAACTGTGGAGAACCAAGAGAACCAAGAAGAAATGTAGTTGGCATCATACTAATTGATCTGGCATTGTACAATATTTATATAATCATAGTAATATAAATATTGCTGATATAAACAAATTACGAGATATTATGGGTATAACCACAATTTAAAACAATAAGAGTAAAAAGATGTAGCATTTGAGAAATGGGATTGGGTAGGGGGATAGGAAGGGGAAGAGGATCATTTCAAAAAGATAAAGTAGTCAAGTCATCAAGATGGCAGACCACTTAAATATTGATGCACCTAATAAGAGCTTCAAAATAAATGAAGCAAAAACTACAAGAAAAAATAGACAAATCCATAATTATAGTCTAAAATGTCATACTTCTTTCTCTAATTGATGAAAGAAGTTGACACAAAAATCATTAAGAATATAATAGTCATAAATGATATATAAATGAATGTGCATGGCTGTATTCCAATAAAACTTCATTTACAAAAATATGTAACTCAGCAAGATGTTAAAAATTATAAACATATATGCATCTAACAACAGAGCCTCATACATATGAAGAAAAAACTGACAAAACTAAAGGGAGAAATAGACAAATCAACAAAAATAGTTTAAGACTTCAATATCCTCACTTTTCAAAATGGATAGAACAATTAGATAAAAGATCAATAAGGAAAGATAAGACTTGAGCAACACTGTCAAGCAATTTGACCCAATTGACATTTATGTAACTTTCCACCCAATGAGAGCAGGATACACATTCTTTTGAAGTGCACACAGAACATTACCAAGACAGACCCTATTCTGGGCCATGAAAACAAGTTTCAATACTTTAAAAAAAATTTAAATCATAAAGTATGTTCTTTGACCACAATGGAATTAAATCCACAAAGAAATCAATAACAGAAAAGATTTCTAGAACCCCTGCAAATACCTGGAAATTAAATAACACATTTCTAAACTAACACATAAATAACTTGCAACTAGTAGTTAATCCTGGAGCTCTAATGCACAGCATAGAGATTACAGTCAACAATACTGTATTATAAACTTCAAAGCTGCTAAGATACTAGACCTTAATTATTTCTCAAACAAAAAAGAATTATGTGATATGATAGAGGTGTTAATCACATTGCAATATGTAAATGTATCAAATCAATATGCACTCTTTAAACTTATACAATGTTATATGTCAATTATATCTCAATTAAAAAAACCATGGGTCAGAGAAGATATCAAAAGAGAAATTAAAAGTATTTTGAATGGAATGAAAATGAAAACATAGCATATCAAATTTGTGGGATGCCACTAAAGCAGTACTTAGGGAGAGATTTACAGCAGTAAACTCATTAAAAAAAAAAAAGATCTCAAATCAATGACTTCAGCTGCCACCTTAAGAAACTAAAAAAGAAAAAAAGAAAAAAAAAATGCATATTGAACCCAAAGTAGGTAGAAGGGAAATAATAAAGGTCAGAATGGAAATCAATGAAATAAAAAACAGACTAGAAAAAAAATCAATGATAAATTGATTGTAGTGGTTTGTACAACTACTCTATGAATATACTATAAAAAAAATGAAATGTACATTTTAAGGTGAATTGTATTATGAATTATATCTAAATATAGCTATTATTTTTTTTAAAAAAGAATCATTTTCAAGGATTTATGACCTATTAAAGAATGCCTTTTTTGTCCTGATCTAACAGACAATATTCTACAGATTTAGTAACCACCAGTTCAAATGTCAATCATCTTTTAAAATCAGACACGTGACTCAAAGAATTCTTTTACAATGGCAAGCAGTACATTCTTCTCTCCTACTGTTTTATTTCCCAACCAGACCCATTTAAGTTATCTTAAATCTTATCATAAAAAGAAGACAATTATGTATCTGGCAAACAATTCTACTTTACCTTTAATTCTAAGAGATTATTTAAAAAGTGTAGCACATCATTAGTTTCGCATTCACCATAAAATGAATCAGCCCATTTCACCAATAATAAACCAAGGGATACGGCATTTAGGTAATTCACCCCAGATCTCTCAGGCTCCTAATACACTATTCCACCATTCTGCCAAGGAGCTTTATATCAACAAGTTCCCTCTCACCTGGTCTCAAAGGTGTGACAATAGCTTGCTGAGGATTCGCTTTCCTCAAAGGAGTTTTGTCCTGAAAAAGCGCTCCTGTCCCATTCTTCCCAGGAAACTTATTCTCCAAATTGGCCTTCTCTTCTGTGAAAAGTTAAGAGTGTCATCCTCTAAACAATCAGCAAAGAAGCAAAGTAAGTCAGTGCCATGCACTTAAAATGGAGTCTCAAGCTCCCTACCAGTACACTTCTAATTCATTTGGCAAGTAAAAGCAAAGCTCTAATGATCAAAAAGAAATGAATACACATTATACATCAGAGATAGAGACTATAAAAACTATCGCTAAAACATTGGCAACAGTGAACAATGTATTATAGAAAAGAAGTGCAGACTCTGCATGTATTGTGAATAGCTCTTTATCTTTGCTTGATACACATTTAGGACCATACGAGTGTGAACTGGCCTTATCAACACCCAGATACATGATGTTCCTGTTTAAGAAACTGTAGCCACCAAGATCTACAGGGCTGACAAGGGGCGTCTCATAGCCTATCTGCGTTGAGGTTCTCCCTCAACTGGGGTGGTGAGAAGGGAGTGTGGGGTGTGAGGATGGAACAGAGCAAGGCTGTCTCAAAGAATTTTATCTTAGATTCTGCCGTGTCCAAAAGTCAGTGCAAAGCAGTGAAATGCCTGTTCTACCAACCGCCTATCTATAGATAGAAGTGTCAAAAATGTGGTGAGCCCCAGCAATAACACTGTGCATGTACATGGATTGCAACTGTGTTAAAAGATATTATTTGGAAGAAATTAGAAAGTTATGTTAGAGCTAAGGTGGTCTGGAAAAAAAGAGTGGGATTTTTTTTCTTCCAAACTGTACTTAATAGTATTGTTAATACTATTTCCCCTTTGTTTTGTTTTAAAGAAAAACTTAGAAAAAGAGATAGACAATCCAGCCATTTCTTTGGAGTTTCAGTGGAGCAAGGGCATGGAGGAAGACCCCTATAGGGCAGTTGGCCCTCTTATCCACCTTTCTTCCCACACCACTTCCAAGACACCTCTCCTCTTGGGATCCCCAGTGGATACAATTAAAGTCCTTTTCCAAGAGAATGGCATATGCCATCATATTTGGACACTATTATCAGTGACAAGTGTGGCTACAAAGGACTCATTTTTGTCCCCCCAGCACACAGTGATTTCTCTTAATAAAGAGGATAAGGGCAAGAAAAAGAATGAATAAAGGGGCCCCAGCAGCTACTAGCCTGATATCAAATATTATTCCAAAGTAATATAAAAACATAACCACATCTTTATTTATCGTTAGCCTGGTGTCAGGGTATGTGCCATACCATATTACCCAACATCAGGCAATCCTATCTCTGTTTGGGGATTGGGTTCTGAGCAGCATAATCCCTCCATTTAAAAATGAATTGGGAAGAGGTAGCAAGGGGAAGGTGAGTGTAGTTATAAAACAGCAATACAAGGGTCCTTGTGATGTTAGAACTGTTCAGTATCTTGACTGTGGTAATAGATACATGAACCTACACAGGTGATAAAATTGTGCAGAACTTAATACACATAAACAAAAATGAGTACAAGTGAAATGAGAAATCTGAGTAAGATTGGTGGATTATATAATGCCAATATCCTAGCTGTAATATTATATTCTATGCCCAGTGACAAGTAGAGCAAGTTTTTATGGGGCTGTCATAAGTACAGACATGTTTTTGAATTCTAGAGTTTCATTCAACTTTGTTTCATCATATTTCTGAAGAAATATGGATTTCTGGATTTTCCCATATGTCTCTAAAGCTTAAATACTTGTCATTCTTAACTGTAAAATAACATTAATTTGTACTTATAGTCCATTCCCCAAATACTTCAATTATTTGTCTCATATCATGGATGACAAAGTACCTTCGTGCAGACAGGAATTATATTTTATTTCCTTATAACCCCTTCTATTTTTTGAAAAGTCTTCAAAACACTTAAAATGGCCAGGGAAAAGCAAACACTTACCAAACCAAGAATCTATGTCTTGGGTATCTTCCTCATCATTCAAAGATGTAAAATTGATGAAGTCCATGGGAGCATCATAGGAATAAGAGGCTTTAACTTGTGACATTGTCCCCACCTCGGTGCAGGAGAGCTGTTTTTTACTAGTATTGGTATCACTTTTCTCAATAGGTCACCTTCTATGGAAAGAAATGGTTCAGAAAATTGTATGCACCTTAATGTAAGGTACTGATTCCCTAGTAATTACTTAGCTTTTACTACCACATTTGCAATTCTGAAAATCGTCTGAACAATATGTCTTACTTTTTAAATCAAACTAAAAGTTAACTGTTCTTTTTGGTAACTTGAAGGTACTCCCTGAGGTAAGTATGTTGGAATTAGAAAGAGGAAAAGTTTGATGAGTACTTACAACATGCCATGCACTGTGCTCAGTGTTTTATGTTCATTATTTTAGTTTCCTCTCAACCTACCATTTCCTCACTTCTAGCCACCCCCACATCAAATTTACTCTCTGCCCTGAATAATCCAATTTCTGAAACACACCATTAAATTTTATACCTACCAACCAAAATCCTACTCATCATTCAAAGTCCAATTCAATTCTCTACAAATCCTTTCCTAATTTCTACCTATCACACAAAATTGTTGCCTCTCCAAAGCCATAGTGCTTTATTTACCATCCGATTTTATATTAACTATGCAAACGTCTCTCCTAGTAGACTGTAAATTCCTGAAGACAAGGATGGATTTTACTCACTTGTGTATACCTCATCCATCAACGTGCTTAGAACAGTATTTTAAAGAAAGTGCAAACAGTTTTGCCGATATAGGTTTTCTTTCCTTATTTTCATAAAAACATTGTCCCTGGGCAAGAAGGAAATGGCTTTAAAAAATACATAAAAGGTACAACATACAGATTAAGTAAAAGGAACAAATAAAAGACAGACCCAGCCTACTTCTGTGTACAAACTTCTACACTCTGTCTTGTGGAAACCTGTGTAGGTTTAACGTCAGCCCCCAATCCAGCCCTGTATGGTTAAGAAAATAGTTGTAAGTAGCCTGAAAAATAATCTAAAGGCCATACTCACTGGCAAATAATTTCCTATGAAACTCAAAGAACCATTTGTCTTCATCCAGAGAACAACATGTACTTAAAGTATTCTTTATCTTAGAAGTAGATACCAGTAATCACTTGCATACACATTTGTTGAATTAAGTATCTTTCTTAAGCCCTATTTTATTACAAAAATATATGATTATAAAAAATTAGATCACAAAAAAGCTTTTATTAAAAAAACTACAATGCCACACTATTCCATATATATTGATATATATAAATCTTTTTTAAAAATGGGATCATTGACATTTTGCATCTGCTTCACATATTGTGAGCATTTTCCATGCCAACAGATAATGATATACTATCATTTGATGGCTGTACGATGATTTACTTATCCCTATTTTTTAGGCTTTATACAATACTTTCACTTTAAAGATACTACTAGAAGAATATCCTTGGAGCTGAATTTCGGTACACGTCCATAATTCTTAAGATAAATTCTTAAAGATGGAATTGCTGGCTCTTGATATATACTGTGAAAATGTTCCTCAGAAGAGTAAATTCCCATTGACATTACCAGAGAGGTGTGCCATGCCCCAAACTGTCACCAATTATGGGTACTGACAGCCCTCAGTGCTGACTTTCTCTATATTATAACATTATACCTATACTCTTTGAGAGAAATCATAAGGTAAGTTATATCCAACCTCGTTGCTGCTCTTGGTTTAGCCAGCATTTCATTAGCTTCTCTCAGTGGCCTTGGATAATTCAGAAGGTACTTCAGTGCCTCAGAAACATTTGTTCTGATACGTATTTATTTGGTTTACATAGTGACATAAATCTACACACCAGAGAACTTCATCTTCCTACGGTCTCCTATGAACTCACTGCACTCACAGATACCTTAATAACTCCACAGAAATCTTTTTAACAATGTCCCAGCTGAGGTACTTAATGTAGATATATGACAGTTTAGAATTGGGAAGCAGAATCTTAGATAACATCTAACATTTGCAGTTTATAGATAAGGTTTAATTAATGCAAAAAAGGGTTCCTCCAAGACCACACAATAATAATACAAATGACTATGGTAAAAACAATTACCAAAGGTACTTACATGTGCCAGGCACCATGAAGTACTAAATACGTACTATTTCTAATACTCTCAACAATCCTGTAAAGCAGCAATTATTATCCCCATCCTAGAAGCTGAAGCTAAGAGAGATTAAATGACTTGTGCAACACTGCCGTTATATAAAGGCAGAAGGAGACCTAGACTGAGGCTCTTGACTTTAGTACAATGTTCTTTCCACATCATTTTGCCTTCTAACTCTGTGAGTTAGAAAAGCATGCTAATGTAGTTCAGGTTTCTGTTTTCATTGAAAATAGTACTATATTTTTTTCCAAGTAGATCCTGCCCCCATAGTCTTTTGCCCTGAATAGAAGACTCTTTATTATCTCCATTCTAAATTTTTCACTCTCCCCTTTTCTACTTTCAGTATTCAATTTAACTTAATAAGCTATTTGTTAGCAGTCCACTCATATTATATACTTACCAAGAGCCATAAGATGTGGGCTTGATGACATCTAAACTCTTTTTCACTAATATTCAAGGATGAGACACCAAGTCTCATACAAAAAGTAGATCTAGTCTCAGACACAAAGGAATTTCAAATCTAGACTGTAGCTAAAGTCCTATCACACTCAATAAATAAGATGGCATATAATATTTAAGTTATATAGTATGAACTAAAAGCATAAAGAGAATTATAGATTAACATGGCTTAAATCAAGCCACAGTTAAATATTTTTCATCATCAAAAACAGTAGGAAGCAGTTAACTTCCTGCTGCCTAAGGAGCTCTTAGGCCAAGACCTAGCATAATAAAGACCTTCTGCTTCTACCCGTTCCTTTGATTTGGATGTGTTCTGGGCAAGAGCCAACTGCCCTAGACAGAGAACAAAACTGGAAGCAGGGTGCTTATTAACAAGCTATTGAGGAAGTCCAGGAGAGACACAGTGGTAGTTTGGGCCAGGGTATTGATCACGGATAAGTGAATAGACATGAAATAAATCTTGAAGGTAACAGTGAGAAGATTCAGTGCAAGACTGGATACAGGTATGAAGGAAAAGAAGGAATTGAGAGTAAATCCTAGTGTCTCTTGGCTTGGAAGTTAGATGGACTGTGGCATTATTGACTGAGATGGAGAGAAAACAAACAGAAGGGGCTAAAATCAGGGGTTCTATATAGCACCTGTCACCTTTTGAGAGGACTATATCAAGTATCCACTTGGGTACCTAGCAGCTACTTGGAGAGATGACTCTAAATCTCAGGAGAGGTCCAGGTCACGCATAACACTCTGATCTCCCAAGGTAATGTAGTCTAAAGAGCACTGACCCAAACATAATTTTCAGCCCCAATTCTTTATTAGTTCTTGGATCCAGAAAGAGTCACTTTATTCTTCCCGTATTTATTAAACATCTGCTACTGTGTAGCACACTGCCATTGGGAAAAAGTTAAAACATGGGATCTATTTTGAAAGAGTTCGAGCTTTCCGAGGACACCGGGTATTAGGGAACTTAGTACCTAGAATGGGTGCCCTAGTAAAGACATGGACCTCTCTCCCTCCAGCAAATGAAGAGGCTCAAGGAGCTGCCGCTACAGTTCTTTCTCATCTTGGTGGAATGCAGTCATTTTAATTTTCATGATAAAGCTAAAAGAGCACTATTTTATCAAGATGAATCGGGAGGCCCTGACGAATTATTTCTGGGGACTGGCTGTCAGGCAATTCAAGTGTGACTAGATGAACTTGAATTTGATTATCCTGTTAGTCTCTGTAGAATTGTAACAGCTTTTCTCTGATGGAACTCTCACTTAGTCCTGGCTTACCTATATACTTAGGAATCAATTTCTGCTGAACTTCATTTGAAGTGTATGGTTCCCAGCTCCTATGTTGCACCTAACAACACTGAATTAAGCAGTATCTTTGTTGTACCCCCACCTTCTCAACAATGGTTCTTGGTACGAGACAAGTACTGTGTGATATGTGGCTATGCACACTTCAAAGAACACTAGTTGACACCTTTTTATGGACCACACAATTACTCCCTTCCAAAGAATTTCACCCAACCTTTCATCTGTGAAATCTAGAAGTTTGTGCCCTTGGACAATGAGCAGCAACACAGAAGTAACCCAGTTTAACAATGCCATGTGGCATTTTATTTTTATGTATCTACATGATTTTAATTCATCTTAATCTACTGTAATCCCCTCATAATACATTTGAGAAGAGGCCATTTGTGTTTTTAACTGTCAATGTAGACACGAATCCATGAATAAAACTTGACATATTTTGTTATTAAAAAAAAAAGTAGGAAGCACACTCTAATGGAAGTCACCTCCTTGATTGCCACCTTCCAAACCTGGAGCAGCCACAGGACAGTTGTGGCCAATGAAAAGGCAGTAGAATCTGCTGAGGGATGCATAGGAGACCTTTCCTGATATAGATAGCTACAGTCCTTGTTCCTGCCCTTTTCCTTCACTCTTCTTGTCTTGAAGGCAGATGTAATGGCTAGAGCTATAGCAGCCATTGTGTACACATGAGTGGATGGCCAAGAGTATAACAGACATTGACCCTGACTCACTGAGCTACTGATCAGTAATGATCAAATGTCAGCAATCATCTAAGTCCAGACACTAATATTCTTTTTGTATAAGCCATTATAGTTACATTTTGTCACTTATAGCCAAAAACAATCCCAACAAACACAGAAGTACAGAATTCTAGCCCTGTCTCTGGCCATTTACTAGATGTATGTGGCAAGGGGCAAGTCACTCTACCTTTCTTCCCATGAACAAAAAGAAGATATTTCAAATGCTATGACATACACTATCATAGATTTTATCACTGTCTTTTGACCTACTGATACCTTTCCTCTCTTTGACCAAATTTCTATTCAAAGGACCCTTAATGAAAGATTCCCCAGTGACTGACAGTGGCTAAAATTCCCCTTCTGCTAAGAGGAAGTTTTCCTGTTTTTGTGAACAAATATGCTGGAAGACATGGGAAAATCTTGGATTCCCATGATCTTAATGCCTAACCCAGGTCACTGGGAACACTTCCCAGGCAGGAATGTAATGAAGACAACTAAAGCTGGGGGAGGAAAGAGGCAGGAATGTCATTTGCAGCAACCCCACTTAGCCTCCTAAAAACCAGGATTCCATCAAAGAATGTTGCTGAAAACCACCTGGAAAGTATTCAAATTTAACCCCTCACGCTCTTTTCTCTTTTTTAAACTATAGAGCTACACGGCTAGCCACTTTGGAGGGCAATTTGCTTTTTTCTTTTTGAGAAATTTTGCCAAACATAGAAATTTATCTTCTAGATATGTAAGTATAAGGAAGTTCACTGTAGAATTATTCATAAAAGTCAAAAAACTAAAAACCCAAAGTCCACCAATAGGAGATTGGTTGAAAAAATTATGGCACAAATGTATAATGAAATAGTAACTTTAATATTAGATAACTTTACATATGTGATTATATGTACAGAATGAGCTCCAAGAGCTATCAAATAAGAAAAGCAAAATGCAGAAGGGTGTGCTTACATTCATGTTAAAAAGAGGAAAAGGGTAATATATACCCTTGTAGAGACATAAGACTATTGCAGAAGGAGACACAAAAGTGTTAACAGTATTTCAGACTGAGAAGAGAGCTGGGACTTCTGGGTCACTATATGAACTTTTCTACTCTTTGAATATGTTTTATTATACAAATGCATACATTTCTAGTTTAAAGAACTAGTTAAGTAGTATTTATTTCCCCCAAAATCTGTGTTTACAGTCCAGAAGTCACTGGGCTTTCTGGAATTTTTGAAAATATTTTTAAATACAGCAATAATTATTAAACCTCTCGATTATTGGAAATATTGCTTCACATTTACATGTTTTATAAATTGGCTTCTAACTTCACATATCCAAATGTTACACATTCTCTTTTATAATTTTTCTGTATAAAAATAAAATGTTCCAAGGAATTGACTTAATAAAAAAAGTACATAAACTTGGGAAAAGAGTTAAAACTAATAACTACTAATTACTAAGTACTTATGACATGCCAGGTACTGATGGCAATGTTTTACATGTATTAACTCACTAAATCCTCATAATAACCCTATGAAGTAGGTACTGTTATTACCTTCATTTTACAGAAGTAGAAACTGAGGCACTGAGATTTATTTGTTCACGGTAACACAGCTAACAAGTAGCAGAGCCAGGATTTGAACCCAGTGAGCCCCTAAAGGGTCCTAATCCACTGCACCATCCATTGCCTCTCTTATTTATTTTAAAATAAACATTTGTATAGATCAATATCAAATATCAAGGAACAAGAGACAAAACCATTTATAGGTAATAATAACTTCCAAACACTGTCTACTACAAGCCAAGCACCTTACCAGGCACTTCACATAAATCATCTCATTTAAGTGAAATAAACAACACAGAAGGTAGATATCATCCTCACTATTTTACAAATAAGGAAACAGACTCAGAGAAGTTAAGCTACTCCGAGATCACCAACTAGTGCAGCAGCGTTGAGTTTTAAGACCAGGGGTCAATATAATACATAGGGTTTTCTACAAATATTCCTTCAAAAATGAGGTAGGTAACCAAATCTTACGAGTTAGACAAAAAATAAACTCTGCTCTATACAAAAACTAAGCATCACTGACAAATCATAAAGAACACTCTGACAGATTAAAAACCCTATTCTAAATACACCAGGAAAGCTAAATACACCTGATCTTTATTTAGGTGAAATTTTTAAATCTCAATACTCTTTTTAGCATGAACTCTTTTTTAAAAAGCTTCTTTTGAGCTATCTTTTGGTGTAGTATGGCCAACTAAGGCAACCATCCCTGTGTCCCCTCCCCACAACAAATAAATAAATACATGTCCATTGAGAAGTCTGATTCTCCTTAATAAAGGATGACAGCATAAGCACATGAACAAAGCCAAAAGTAACTATGGGATTATGCCAGTTTCACCCCCACTGCCTCTCCCATAAATAATATTAGGATGTAAAACCTTCAAAAACGAAAGAGCTCAAGGCTTAGTGGAAAATGGAGCCAGCCAGGGCCAAAGTCAACTGTTTAACTGAGAGAGCCTCATGCACGGTGGGAACTGGATGCCTTCCTGCACCCCTTAATCAAGATTGAATTTCTGTCAACAGGTCTCACTGAAAAAAAAGCACATGCGTCAACCACATTCCCCCAAACAAATTAAGCTGCCAGGCAAGAGAATCAGCATCACATTTCAAAATTATCTGAATCCACAATAGCTTCAGACTCTTGCAAATCTAGACACATTCATTATAAGTTAAAAAATAGCTCTTTCTGACCAATAATCCCACAATAGACATGATGGAAAATTCTCTCCCATCTGTTATGAACTAGGTAGGTTCTTTTTGAAAACTGCCTATTAAGTACCATCCATCATATCATATAGCTTTTTTTTTGGTCTCCAAAAAACAAAGACTGAAAGGATATACATAATCCCTTCCCTTAAGAAACTCACAGTTGAACGGAGAATACAATTATGATACAGGGTGATCCTTGCTGTAATGGGTAATAAACCAAGGGCAACTAAGAATACACTATGGAAGTGCAGAGAAGGGGAACAAAGTGAAGAAGGGTCAGAGCAGGTTTACTGATGGAAGCGATACCTAAAAGACATAGACATGTGGAGTTTTACAGGCTAAGCATGAATGTTGACTTGTTCTAGGGGAAGAGATAAATGGAAAGGCCAAACAAAAAGAGGAAAAGTATGCAATTGAGGAAAACTGCAAAAAAAACATATGATTTCACTTATATTTGGAATACAAACCTGAAAACAAAACAAAACAAAAAAAAAAAAACAAGACAAAAACTCATAGACACAGACAACAGTTTAGTGGTAACCAGAGTGGGGCAGTAGGGAGAGGTGGATAAGGGTAAAGGGAGTTAAATATATGGTGACAGAAGGAAATCTGACTTTGGGTGGTGAAGACACAATGCAATATACATATGACATATTATGGAATTGTATACTTGAAACCTATAAATTTTATTAACCAATGTCACCCCAATAAATTTAATTAAAAAAGGAGCAATGTAACCTGTTTCTACAGTCATCTGAAATGAACCTCCATTGCCTCCTCTCTTCACTCTCAAACCAAAAATAACTAGCCTTTGACGAGCTCTATAAATCAAAAGGTGCAGGTTCAGAGGGAGTGGAGGGAAGTGGCAAAAGGATGCATTCTAAGCAAGCCTGAACTGGTAGACTAGCAGCTCCTAAAAAAAACAAAGACTAGTGTGATAGATGTTCTCAACTGGGCACCCGCTTTCAAGCTGTGTCCTACCTATTTCTACTAGAGGAAAAATCACGAGTTAACACTAGCCAACTTGTGAGCTGTGTCCTGCCTATTTCTATTGGAGGAAAAATCATGAGTTAAACAATTGGTAATGTAAAAGACTAAACAGAGCAAGTCAAGACTTCATTAGAAGTATAGTTTGTTAAGCTGGTCCCATCCCAAGCAGTGCCATTTCCCCAGAGACAACCTCTACCACTTTCACAGGAGATAAGAGATCTTATTACAGTACCACAAGTTAAATAGAGTTGAGTTATTTTCATCTTACCCAGGGAGAAAACACTTACATTTTTTTTTGAACAAAGGAGGTCAGCAGGAGGCAGTAAATGGCAACATAATCCAGTGTGCAATTTTAACTATTAATCAAAGTCACAAACTAAGTCTGAAGGAAGTTAATGGACTTTGTGTTTCCACATTTATGTTCGCTAACTTCTATGTTGAAATCGGATCTGTTTACAGAAACAGATCTAAGAAGCTTCCAAAATTGGGTCAATTTAAAATCCAATGACAATCTTTCACCGTCCAAGCACTCAGAAGTCAGCACAGGATACATGGACACTTGTTCTAATTCATCACTGTCCAGAAACTTCAAGCAAATATATTTTTTATCACTTCTCTCTCAAATTTGTAAGTTTCATATCACTCTCTCTGAAGAATAACAAACTCAGTTCTGCTTTATTTAATTTATCCAGACTCTATAAACCATAATCCACTCTTACACGACTAATGGGACCTGGATAGAAATCAATAATGCCATTTACCTCGGGCCAAATGTTTTTTGTAGAATTTTTGTAGATTTTTGTAGAATACTAAGAGGAAATCTTTGTAGAATATCAAAGTGTTCTGATGTTCCAATAGTAAGAAACTAAAAGAGTTTATAACGGTTAACAGTGGAGCTGCAGGTTACAACCCTCATCAAATCTCAATCACTCAGTCTTGTAGTGATTCGTATCCTTCAAAAGATTTGGGAAGTAGAGACATACACACCTAAAAAAGTGATTACCTGTGGATGGCAGGGAGTGAGGTAGATAGTGACAGGGTTGGAAGATTTTTAACTACTATAAATCTTTTTATATTATTTTGATTTTTGCACAATACGAATGTATCACATATTTTTAAAATATGCTCATGTGAATTATACACTGCTAGTATGTAAATCAGCATAATTTTCCTATGAGGCAATTTGGTGTTATATACCAAAGTCTTAAAAAATATGCATTCTTTTTGACCAATGATTCACTGGGTAAAATATTACAGTAGAACCATATAATGGAATACTGCATAGTATTTCATGCAGAAAGGCATAAAAAAAGTTCATAATTATTAAGAAAAAATAATGAAGGTTTTTGTGCATGGTGCTTTAGAACCAAATATAGGCAGAGAAAAACAATGAAAAGATATCTATCAAAATGTCAGCCATAATTTATATGAGAAGTGGGATGGATAATGGGTTATGTTGTTTTCTTTTGCTTTTCTAATATTAAACAAATTTTCTTCCAAAACACGTTACTTTAAGATATGTTAAACTTATTTAAACGCTTTTGAAGCTAATATATTAATATTCCCCTTATTCCTTTTTAATGTTAACTCACTGTGAACACAACCTTACCTGGGGTTTAATCTGTCAGTCCAATCACAGTTGCAACATACTCTTTCACTTCTCTTCTGAAATCTTGAAATTTAGCAAGTACTTCTTATCAAGAACCTGGAAGAAGCAGAAAGGTGATGAAACAGGTTCAAATTCTCTGTAGTAAAAAAGGTTAACAGAGAACAGGAAGGAGCTATAAGACCAGGGATATCCACTCTCAAAACCAAAGAGTGCTCTGAGAGCTAAAGTCTAAATAGCATGGATTCCCTCACACACACCCACCAAATGCCAAACTTAACAGACAGTTGTTCAACAGTGTAAAGTGTTCTTTTAAATTTTTCAGTGTACATTTGCTGTCTCCTGGTGTCTTTGATATTACCTATTCCCACTTTAAAGCAAACTTTCCAAAATGTGCAATTTATAAACACTGACACCAAGGGGTGGTAGTGTGCACTTCCATCCTATTCAAACAGGACAAATAGGCATACTTAAAATATGAAAAAACTTTTTCTATCTTTTTTATTTTATAAAGTAGAAATAACATTTAAAAAAATTTTCTAAAGTAAGCTCCTACATACAGTTTTATACCTTTCTCACTAATATTTAGTCTCCCTCTAATCAAGTTTCTCTATGCAAACACACAAAAATGGAACCCCTCCCAGTTATCCATAGCTTTTTCACAAAGTACCTTGGGCTGCTGATCTCTATGTCCTTGTCACACACAGATCTATTCGCAGAATTGCTTGGGCTGTTCAATCTCCCTGTAGTCAATTCTGCTTCCGACCTTGACCCATGGCAAAGAATATTAAGTATGCCAAAGGGCATTTAAATCTCTCTTTCTCTTTTCTTCCCCAGGAATTCAAAAATAATTCGGGAATTGACCCAGGAAAGGCTGAAGAAAAAACAGGAGATCTCGAAGAACTCTGAACCTCTCCTGGTATGTAAACAAGAAATGAAAGAACTTCCCACATAATCTCGTCTTCTGGAGAAGTTTAATTGCAACTGTAGGATAAATTAACTTTATTAAGGTTAGAATACACAGACTTAAGCATGAGGCTGGCCAAAATAACCCTATTTTATTTATATGATTTGAAAGTTTAAACAAATTTGCCAACCTAGCTAAAAACATCCAGTTTTTCATACCTGCAGTTTTGTAGTCAATTTAGATAATGCCCTCCTGCCTATCCAATTCAACAGATATTAAGTGGGTGATTTCTACGCACTAAGACTGTTCTAGTTCTTGTCTCACCAAACTCTGCTTATCAAGAGCCAGTGTATGTCTCACCTGCTTCACAAAGCCGCTCTTGTCTATTTTAAGCCTCACTGAGCTCCCCTCATCTCTAAATTGCCAGGACACTTAAAATACAAAACAGTAGGGCACTCAGATGCTGTCTTATCTTGTTCTGATTGTTACTTGTCAATTTGAATCAGTCTTTTGTCCTCAAGCATACCAGAAAACCCTGAGTACATCATACACCTATACACCCACAGTATCTAAAACCAACCTGAGCACACAGTATACCCTCAAAGGTCAATTAACTAGCTAAATGAGTGGGGAGCCACAATAAATTTTGATCCCAAGAGTGAGAGCTTAATACTGAGCTGACACACCCAACAATGCTACTCCAAAAAACTTGACAGGGGGTGTGATACACTGAGGCCACACCACAAGGATATCCTTATTATAGAAGTAAATAAAAAGCCATAGGATATCAAGACAAGGTAAGGCTGAATCTGGGAGTACACCAAGCAATTGCCTTAAGGCAAAATCAGTAGAGCACTCAGATGCTGTCTTGTCCTATATAGGTCTGATTTGGGGGAAGTCCTTGGTACTTAACTACTAGAAAAATGTGAGAAAAAGAAACCATACATAAATAAAAGAGGGGCAAAACAATCCTACAATATTGTAGCCTGATTCACACTTCTTTCTTTTCCAATCTACATGTTCTAGACTGGTACTAGTCCATGGCCTGTTAGGAACCTAGCCACACAGCAGGAGGTGAGCAGCAGAAGAGGGAGGGAAGCTTCATCTGTATTTGCAGCTGCTCCCCAGTGCTAGCGTCACTGCCTCAGCTCCACCTCAGATCATCAGGCATTAGATTCTCATAGAAGCACCCGTCCCTTATGCCAAAAAGGTTGGGGCCCACTGTTCTAGGACAAGAAATTAGAATGGGATAATACCTAGTTATTTTATACAAAGGGGGAGGGCTGGGCAGATATGGGTAAAACAGAATATAAAATCCCTAATAGAAAGACAACTTCAAGTGGAATTAAACTCTCCCTCAATTATGTTCTCAAACCACCTCATCTGCCTTTCTATCTTCCACAATAGTTTAGAAATGTAGTTGGTTGTGACATCTGTTTTCCTCCACGAAATGCTACATTTCTTGAGGGCGGGACTACTGTTTCTCCCAGTTCTCGAAGAAACTTATCTAGATTGTGGGCCTTAGTTTCCTGCTCTATAACGTAGACTATAACGCTTGCTGCGCAATTAAACGAGAAAACGCACGCAGGGTGCTTAGCCCAGTAAATGCTTACTTCATGTGTTCTTGCTAATAGCAATACTTGTTACCGTTACTATTAGCCTACAGTCTCTCGCAACGCCTTCTTCCCCATTTCCCGCGGCTGACCTCCACCTCTACCTCCAGACACAGCTGCCTAAATTCGGTCCCAACAGACTTCCCGGAGAAATCCTGTAACAAAGACAAGGGTAGCCAGACGCTCGGCTTCCCACTCCGCCCAGCCAGGACTGCGCCCCTCAACAAAAGCCTCAGAAGCTAGGGCCTATCGACATGGACAGCGCTCGGGGCTTGGAGGCGACCTCCAGCCGTTCAAAAGTCAGGGAGGAGAGAACCCCGCGACCCAGCGGCTCCCCTTTTCTCCCCATAGCTCACCTCGTCTCGGGTATAACAACGGAGCACCCGCAAGAGCCGCCGAGGGATTCATTCAGTACCGTTGAAAATTTGAACCCAGGCTCTCCAGTCGAATGCACCAATCAGAGTGCCGAGAATCGGCAATCCCAGCGTCCTTATTGGCTCTAGAGATCGCAGGACGCCGGAAGTCAGGATGAGGAACAGCAAACAAGCCTCTCGGAGGCTCCTGGGAAATGTAGTTTCAGGCGACTGCGTGGGCCCATTGGAACAATTCTAATAAGGAATTTACTACAAAGTCCAGGATGCTTGCCTTCAGACTATTTGAGAAAGGTGGGACCAACTGAAGAGATGGGGGAGTCGATTCAGATAACAGAACAGAACACCGCTCATCCTGGATCTCCGCAAAACTTTCACGGAAGAAAATTCTTTATTTGTTTATTATTCTTCCTGTAGTTGTGCTTGTGCCTGAATATTCATAGGAACTCACTTCTTTTTAATATGGAGTCCTCTGCAGGCAACGTAGACTCACCCTCAACTTCTCGGCCCTGAAGGAGTGTATCAAATTCTTTATCCAGTCCACGCCCTGATATTGCTTTAAAAGCCGCGCTTCAATGGGTGCGTCGTCCTTCCGTTTTAATTACTACTACTACGTCGCTGATGTTATCTTCGTATTGTAGAAGAGAAAACAAAGACTCAGTAATTGAGTAAACTTGTCTAAAATCACTTAAGTGGAGGAGATGGGATTTGAATTTAGAATGTCTGGGCTTATGTATCATCAGTAACAAGGACGAGAACAAAAGGATCATAATAAACAAAAGTTACAAAGATTTAAAAAATAAACCTAAGACCTTATGGGAAAATTAAAAACTAACACTTAGTTAAATAACTCTAAAAATAATTAAACGAGATGGATGCACCTTATGAATGGATGGGAAGATCCAATATTTTCAAGATGTTAGTTCTTCATATTAAAAACTCAAGGCAATTCCAATGAAAATCCCAACAGGTTTTGTTATGGAACTTGCCAAGGTGGTTCTAAGATATATATAGAAGAAAAAAAGCACAAGAAGTGGCATCTGAATTTTAAAAAATAATAAGGGAGAATTGCCATACCAGATCTATAAACATTAACATATAATGAAACTACAGTAATTTTTGAAGTGAGGTTAATTGACTCCGTGGGCATTCAATCAGCAAAATCCATATGGGAAAACTACAGCAGGGGTCCCCAAACCCCAAGTCATGGACAGGTCTACCAGTCCGTGGACCCGTACCAGTCTGTGGCCCATTAGGAACCAATACAGCAAGACGTTAGTAGCCTGTGAGGGAGCTAAGCTAATAGAGCTAATTCATCTGTATTTACAGCCGCTCCAGCACCTTATGGCCTCAGCTCCACCTCAGATGATCAGGCATTAGATTCTCATAGGAGCATCTAATGGGGACCCGCTGCTCTACAGAACAAAAGATGTAGTTTATTCAAAAAATAAACTGCAGAAGTTTGTTTTTTGGTTTAGTTTGGTTTGGTTTTTAATACTTATTTTTAGAGGTACATAGAGAAATGTTAGAGGTGAAACGACTCTAGAATTTCCTTCAAAATAATCAGGAGGAAAGTAGGAAGGAGTATAGATGAAACAAGATTAGCCACAAATTGATAATTGTTGAAGCTGAGTGACAGATTCATGATACATATATTCATAGACATCCTCATATACAGATAAGTGTTTGAAATTTTCCACGAAGTTTTTTTTAAGTAAGGTATTGCCATAGAAATTTTTTTTAAAAAATCAAAAGAGTTTAAGAGTCCAGAAGCAGACGCCATGTATATCAGAATTTAGTAAATGCTGAGTAAAATTTCAAATCAGATGGACATAGACAAATAAAGATGTTAGGACATTTGCTTTCCGTTTGGGAAAAATATTGTGTTAGATTTTTATCCCATCCCATACCAGTTACAAAAACAAGTTTCAAATGAATTAAACCCTAAAGATATTTAAAAATTAAAAAGTTTTAAGTTTTAAAAGCATATGTTTATATTGTTGGAGTAGGAAATTTTTAAGTAAGACATAGGGAAAAACTAAAGGGAAAACACTGACCAAATCAAAAATTTTAAATTCTGTTGACAAAAAGAAAACAAAGATTTTGGGGTGAATTCTTCCCAACACATATGACAAAGGATTAGAACACAGAATGTAAAAGAACAAAAAACTCCTATGAATAAGTGAGAAAAGGACAAAAAAGATTTAATAGGAAAAAAATGGAGAAAATACACAATTCTTAAAAGAAGAAACAAAACTGGCCAATAAAGACATGAAAAAGTGCTTGGCCTCACTAGTGGTATGGGAAATTTCAACAAGGAGGTATCATTCTTCACCTATCGGATTGACCAAAATTAAAAATTTGATAGTATCAAAGATTTGTAAGGTAATTCAGCAGGTGGGAGAGTAAATGGACTCAGGCTGCTTTAGAGGGCAACTTAACAACAGCTATTAAAGAGTCAAATATGTATGCCCTGCGGCCTCAGCTCCACCTCAGATGATCAGGCATTAGATTCTCATAGGAGCATCTAATGGGGACCCGCTGCTCTACAGAACAAAAGATGTAGTTTATTCAAAAAATAAACTGCAGAAGTTTGTTTTTTGGTTTAGTTTGGTTTGGTTTTTAATACTTATTTTTAGAGGTACATAGAGAAATGTTAGAGGTGAAACGACTCTAGAATTTCCTTCAAAATAATCAGGAGGAAAGTAGGAAGGAGTATAGATGAAACAAGATTAGCCACAAATTGATAATTGTTGAAGCTGAGTGACAGATTCATGATACATATATTCATAGACATCCTCATATACAGATAAGTGTTTGAAATTTTCCACGAAGTTTTTTTTAAGTAAGGTATTGCCATAGAAATTTTTTTTAAAAAATCAAAAGAGTTTAAGAGTCCAGAAGCAGACGCCATGTATATCAGAATTTAGTAAATGCTGAGTAAAATTTCAAATCAGATGGACATAGACAAATAAAGATGTTAGGACATTTGCTTTCCGTTTGGGAAAAATATTGTGTTAGATTTTTATCCCATCCCATACCAGTTACAAAAACAAGTTTCAAATGAATTAAACCCTAAAGATATTTAAAAATTAAAAAGTTTTAAGTTTTAAAAGCATATGTTTATATTGTTGGAGTAGGAAATTTTTAAGTAAGACATAGGGAAAAACTAAAGGGAAAACACTGACCAAATCAAAAATTTTAAATTCTGTTGACAAAAAGAAAACAAAGATTTTGGGGTGAATTCTTCCCAACACATATGACAAAGGATTAGAACACAGAATGTAAAAGAACAAAAAACTCCTATGAATAAGTGAGAAAAGGACAAAAAAGATTTAATAGGAAAAAAATGGAGAAAATACACAATTCTTAAAAGAAGAAACAAAACTGGCCAATAAAGACATGAAAAAGTGCTTGGCCTCACTAGTGGTATGGGAAATTTCAACAAGGAGGTATCATTCTTCACCTATCGGATTGACCAAAATTAAAAATTTGATAGTATCAAAGATTTGTAAGGTAATTCAGCAGGTGGGAGAGTAAATGGACTCAGGCTGCTTTAGAGGGCAACTTAACAACAGCTATTAAAGAGTCAAATATGTATGCCCTGCGACCTAGGATTTCTATTTCTAAGTTTAGTTCCAAGAGACATACTCATCTACTTACACAGAGGCATAGTCACTGTAGCAATTACTGAGAGCCTACTCTGTGTCAGTCACTGAGTAGTAGGAGGAGATGGCAGTGAAAAGACAGACAAAATGACCTCAAGGAGCTGACATTCTAGTGAAGAAGACGGACACTAAATAAGGTGAATAAATAAATGATGTAGTGTATTAGAAGGTGATAAATGCAAAGCCATTTGCTCTCCAGGCCCCAAATGGTAGATGGCAAAAAAATAAGGGAGAGGTGGGGTGAACAAATAGAGAGCAGAGTTTGCCTGGGTTACTGCTGCCTACTTTCAGCAAACACACTACCAGAGCTTCAGGCATGTTCAGGGCCACACAGTAGCCAGGCCCATGGTGGGGGTGGAAGTAGAGATAGCTTGCTTTATATTAGGAGGGAGAGGGCATCAGATCTGTGTTGTGTCCAGGCAGAAGGTTCTCAGTGAGTCAGCGAGTGAGTGAATGAAGCAATGCCAGGAGGCCAAGATGTATGCAAGAACCTCCCAAGTCCTTCCAAATTAACAAGAGGTGTGCCTGGTCCAAGGGATTCCTCTCCTGTCGTTCCTTCTGCATTGATTACATTCTAGGCTGAGTCTCAAGTTCCCGTTCTTCATGAATGAGAGAGACTGAGATCTGAAATCACCAAAGCAGAATTTTAGAGCTGGAAAGCAGCACAGACACATCTGATCCATTCCATCCACAATTTCAGCTATCACTGTTTTGCCCTATTTACGTAAAAGGGGTTTGCAATTTTCAATAGGGTAGTAGTTCAAGGACATTTGGGCAAAGATCTGAAAAAGATGAAGGAGTGAGCCATGCAGATAACTGAGGAACAGACACAAGGAACAGCAAGTGCAAAAGCAGGACCATCACAGGCATGTTTTAGAACTAGTTAGGAAGTAACAGTGGATCAAATGGACAAGGAGAGTGTATCGGGATATGCGCCTAGAGATATTCTGGGCAGGATGCAGACCAACTAGGCCATTATAAGAACTTTGATTTTTATTCTAAATGAGATCGGAGTCCTGGGAGGGTTTTAAGCATTGATTTACTCTTTGCTTTTAATAAAATAACTCTGGCTCTGTGCTGAAACAGAGGGAAGGGGAATGAGAGCAGAAATAAGGAAATCAATTAGTAGGTTGTTGCATTATAGTTGTGAGAAATTGGAAACCACCTAAATGTCCATGTAGGAGGGTATTTCAATAAATCATCTATAGAATGGAATATTAAGCATCCGTTTAAAGAGTTCAGTAGATCTGAACTGACAGGTATCTTTGAGACACATTTTTGAGTTAAAAAACAAATTGCTGATCGATGAAAATACATTATGAAACCATTATGTCTTTTAAAAAATATGCAAAACAATACTCCTATGGGTATATATAAGTAATAACATATAGCACTTATCGTATGCCAGGCACTGTTTGAAGTACTTTACACACGTTAACTCATTTCATCTTAACAGTAACTCT